GCAGACTTCTCACGTTGGTGGTCTTCTTGTAGTAGTCCAAGTGGTGCACGTCTCTGGCCAGGCCGAAGTCTGCGATCTTCATGACGAGGTCTTGCGTGACCAAAACGTTACGGGCCGCCAAGTCTCTGTGGACGCACTGAACAAAGAAGTTATGTTTTTGTCTAACTCTCTTGATTTCACTAGTGTTCCTGATGAAACCAGTTCCTGCCACTCTTGGCTCTGCATTGATGATGTCATCGAATCACCTTCTTTGATGCCAGGTAGGCCATTCCGCGGCCCACCTGGTACGCCGCAGACACCAGATCTTGGAGATCCAGGCCGCCCCGCGGCATCTCGGCTGAATGGCGCCAGTATTCGGAATCGGGCGGGCGATGTGCGCGGAGATGCTCCCTGAGGTTACCCCGGGCGGCGTACTCCACCACCACGTACAGCGGCCCTGACCAACGGAACATCACAAAGCACACAGACGTGATCCCATCTCCACCAAGACCCAAGTCAAGTCTCCTTGTGGTCAGGTTATCTCAAGTGGACTTGAGTCAACGCTTGGTGTCCCCGTCTCTGCCGAACGCCGTTGGGCTTGACGACCGGCTCACCGTCGCGCGTGCAGGCGCCAATCAGGTTGATGATGTTCTTGTGGCGTCCGATCATCTTCATCAACTCCATCTCGGAGACGAGGTCCATCAGGTCCTTGTCGCTGGCGTCCGCTGCGGTAAGCGCAAGTAAGGACGGGACCACGTACACCAGCGTAAGGCCGGCGCTCACCTTTCAGCATCTTCACCGCCACCTTAGTGACACATGTCGGGCGTTCCCTGTCCAGGCCGATGGCCTCGGCCAAGGTCACCTGGCCGAAGCAACCCTCGCCCAGTGGCTTGCCCAGCGTCAGCCTGCGGACAAGAACGAGATCAGTTTTGGATTCCACACGCATAATTGAGTTAAAAACAATTCTCATACTGAATGCAACAAAAATTGTGTTACTAATAATTAGGTCAATGACTCCTCACAAGAAGGAAACTCAATAAATCGCAATAGGTAACAATTTGGCGCCATCTGGTGTTCACATTGAGCCTAATAATTAAGTCAATGACTCCTCACAAGTCGGAAACACATAAATCGCAATTGGTAACAATTTGGCGCCATCTGGTGTTCACATTGAGAATCTTCAATTTAGCTTATGTGCTAATGCTAACAAGTGTTTGGAACGTGCCTGAGTACCCGCAGAAGATTTCATGCAAACTGCCCACAGGAAGCAGCGTACCCGTCACTCACCTTTCACGAGGAAGTTCCCATTGAAGGTCGTACGGCAGCTGGTAGTCGGCGGACGCGGTGGGCGTGCCGGCGGTGGTCCCGCTGGAAGGACAAGACGGACACACGGAAGACTTCTTGGAGCAGATGGACGACGAAGACACCAGAGACACCTGCGAGGAATGCTTTCGGCTGTTAGCATGGCGGCGGGGTACGTGGCTATTTTTCAACAATTGCAGTATGTTTGACTCGTGCTAAAGCTAGCTTACACGGACTAGCTTAAAATTTCGTGAATCTTGAAAGTTCAGAATTGAAACTCCCACATGTGACTCGCTACCAGCTACCGACGGCGGCGGTCACCTGTCTCTTGAGCGCCACCCTCTTGGCGAGCTTGTGGACGGCCAGCTGGTTGCCGGGGGCGACGCCCTTCCCGGGGGCGGAGCACAGCTTGCAGATGACGACGGTGAAGGTCACCGTGACGGCGATGAAGAAGCCCATGCAGTAGAAGAAAATCTGAGCGTAGCTGTGGGAAAGTTGCGGGCCTGGAGAACAGAACATAAATCAAAACACCGGAGGGAAGACAGACGAGAGGCGCCATCTTGCTTTTGGTCGCAAGTTTCGCTTACTCTCCAGCACGGTGAGCCAGGCCGACTGGTACGAGATGCCCATTTCGTTTTCGGCGACGCACGCATACTCGCCGGCGTCGGCGGCGCTCACTTTGGTCAGCGTCAGGACCTGCGGGTCTTCGTCCCACGCGTCCTGAACGAACACAAACGCGACTGACCTCGGAGCTGAGTCGCTGATGCAACAAGGTTGTTGTAGTGAAGGGAAACGGACAAAACTGAAACTGCGCGGATGGCACCTTGACGACGGGGCCATCGGGCAGTTCGTGGGGTCCGACGAGGCGGCTCGCGTTGTCCACTTTGATCCACTTCACATGAGGCTGCGGGTCGCTGAAGACGCTGCAGGCGAACTCCACGCGGGCGCCCGCCACCGCCGTCTGATTGGCCGGAAGGCCGGCCTTGAGGAGGGGCCTGTGAGCCAGGCGCTCTGAGGACGGACCGCCGCCACCGCGTTACTCGGATACGCTCGTCATCAGACGATCACGTGATCAGGCGGTCCTGTGTCTGCGGCCTCTTGGTCATGTGATCATGTGGCGCCTTTGTCTGGTCCGGAATGAACTCAATGGCGCGTCGCTCGCGCGTTTCATCGTCCAGACAAAGACGTACCGTTTTTTTGGGGGGGCCTGGTGGTCATGCGATCGTGTGATCTTACCCACGACGTCCAGCACAAAGTGGCGTTCAATGCGTCCGTGCGTGTTGTGTGCCGCACACGTGTAGTTTCCTTTGTCTGAAGGCAACACCGTCTCCAGGGTGAGTGTCCACGCGCGTTGTTTGATCTGAGGCGAGTCAGTCAGTCAGTCAGTCAGTCGGCAGTTGTCCGCACGTCCGCACGCACGCGCCAACTCACCTTGAAGCCGCCAAGTCTTTGCAGTTGTCTGACATCTTTTCCGTTTTTGTACCAGTCGAGCGTAGGGGTGGGGTTTCCCGTTGCCCGGCAACGGAATTTGGCCACGTGGCTGGCGGGAAGGGCATAGATCGTCTTCGCCATGCCGGGAGACGACCAGCCGGGCGGCGACGCTAACGACGACGCTACGGAAAAAGGACGAGAGGACCGTCTTCACGCACGCTGCGGTAAGTTCAACTTTTGAAGTGCATTTGAAACGCAAGTGAAAAGTAGCTTCATTTGTTATGAAATAGCCGTGACGTCATCTTTGTGTTGACCAGCTCGTTTGACTTTTTCATGTTAGCAACACTTTTGAAAGAATGATTGAAGACATTTGAATGCCAACGGAGGCCTTTAAGAATGTTGACAGATGTGCAGGATACCCACATCAGGAAGAGGAAGATGATGAAGAGGATGAGCAAATAGAGATTGAGGAAGAGGAACGTCAGGTGTCGCGACTCACGCTGCTGCTGCTGCTGCGGCTGCGGCGTGTTTTCCTTGCTGCTTGTCACATCGTCGGCGTGCTCGTTTTCCTCCGATGACGACTCGTCTTCGCCTTCGTCTTCATCCTCCTCATCCTCAGACGATACAGTCTCCAGATCGACTGAAAGGACAAAGTTCAAGTGTCAGCACTTGTTTCCGGCTCTTTGTCCGCTTCTCTCATGTGACCGTGATGACCAATCGTTGCTCATAAGGCGTCTTCGCTTTCAAAATGGACAAGGCGGCGCGCCCACACACATTGTTCGTGTGTCTGGACAGGAAGTCTCGGCGGGCCAACACCCTTCTGACAAAGAATTCTCATGAGTACAGTACTTTTGAGAAATTTCACAGGTTCTTCGCAGGGCCTGCAATCTATCCCTGGATTGGTCGCCATACATTTTCAGGACACATGTAGACAAACAATGGACTGGTCACCTGTTCATGTCATGTAAAGAACGGACAACCCGCCACAATGAAACAAATGGAGCGGTCTCACCTGCGGGTGGGCGGTGGTGAGCGGTGGAGGGGCGTGGCCGCGTCACCGGAAGTAGAACCATGAGCACCAACGGCAGCAGCAGCAGGCGGCCGCACAGCGCCATCTTGTGTCCAACAAGCGTGCGGGTGCCACTTCCCGTGCCCACAAACTCCAAATCAACACAGCAGATTCATTTTCATTAAATAGAACAATATACGTCCGGCCACGCCTACATAATGCCGGACACCCAATAGGAAGGCGGTGGGCGGAGACATCAAGATGCGAAGGACTGACACGCACACGCCAAAAGTATGTGCGCGCACGTCACATTTTTGACTGTCGAGAATGTTAAACATTCGCTGCGTGAATGACGTCATCCCAAACGAAACAAAAATTGCAGTTACGTCTTGTTTCTTTGTCGTTTTAAGTTATGTTTAGGTTCAGAGACGTACCTGACCGTCGTCCAATCAGCTGCCACGATGCCAAGCGCGCGCCGGACGACAAAACATCCACTCGGGTTTGTTTCTTTTCTTTTTCTTGTCTTGCTTCACTTGTGCGCGACGAGGTTCGTCCTCATCGTCATCATTTGTGAGTGACTGAAAGGAGAGAGAGAGAGACGGCGGGCATGCGCATGTGGCGCGCACGAGCGCCCCCCTCCTTCTCGGGGGAGGGGCTATCTGTCAGTCTGTCAAACCATCGAAGTTTGAATGAATGATTTCTTTCAAACGTGTGGAAATCACACGAGAAAAGAACAACCAAGCAAAAAGTAGTTGCAAGGAATGAAAATTTGTAGTTCTACTCCTTCCTTATAACACGACATAGTTTTTAAATATGTAGACTAATAAACAAAATCATAATTGGTAAAAAATATTGATATACAAATATATTTATTCGCCTATACACCAATATTTTTCATGAGTTCTGATATTGCAACTACTTTTTCCTCCGAGTTGGAAAAAATCATGTATTTTTGTCATTGTTTTTCCCAACTTGATGCAATTTGTACATTGTTCCAGCTCCGCCCCTCAGTCTGTTGCAGTCTCACTTTACTTTTTGTGATGCAATTTTTGTTGTTGTTGTGGTTCTGCATTTTTGGATGAAAAAAAAAATTACCATTCATTTACACACCCTATCTTTTTCCAAAATCGTCCACGCTAAATGAGTAGCCTGCAGCAATGTTCTGAAATAGTTTACCTGTGATGGTACATTGTGAATTTCCTTTTTATTCTAAATGCCCTTTGCTTGACTTTGCAGCTAGCAGCTCGCGCACGTGAGGTCGTCACCGCCAGGGGTGGGTGGGTCGCTCCCGCACCACAATGTGGACACATCTGGAACATTCCAGCTCACCAAACCCTGACCAACACTTCCTGTTTTGCTCACCACCAAGCTCATTCGAGAGCATGCAAGCGCTGGAGCATTTCTTCCGGATCCAGCTAGTCCACGTACTGTTTTGGCCTCGCCACTGAATTCTTGACTTGCGTTTTGAGAAAGACTGTCAATCTCGGCGAAATGAAAAAAAAAAAAAACCTGAAAACTGATGGGGGGGAAAAAAACCTGACAGGAAAACATCAATTGACTCCCTACAGAATCTCATGAGCATTGTGTGCGCGTGCTTGTGTGGCCGAATCCAAATTAAGACAGCATGCGCGTGCACGATAACATTCCAGAGTTTGCGGTGTGGGAGTGCGTGTAGGGAGGAGGCTGCCGAGTGTGTCTGTGCGTGCTTTCCTGACAAAAATAATGACACACACACACTGGGAAGCTACAAATCCCTTATGGGACAAAGAAATTTGTCACAGAAAAATGGATGGATGGAAACAAAATACTCCAGGGGCTGAACTGAGCGACATAAATTTCTGACAAAGGCTATCGCTTACTCAATTAGTGCGTTTGGCGAATTCACACAATTCCACATACGCTTCTCTTGATAAATAGTTCATTTCTCCCAATCAACAAAGTCTGTAGATGTCACACGAGCATAACTATTTGACATATAGAAACTATTTGATAGAACGGTGACTCGTATTCTTAGCGTGCGTGGCTTTTATGGACACAGACCGCAGTTGTCTATCCCAGAATAGATCATTGTGAAAGATTCTTTTATTCCAATAGGCGCCTTGCAATTTAAAAAAAAAAAAATCCTCGTGTGAAAAAAGAAAAAAGCTGTGCGTACAATCGAATCCCAAATTACAGGTTTCGCCCATTCCAGCTTGAACTGGGATGCTTTGTATCACAAAAAGCCGGAGCTTCTACTTTGCTGCTGCTGCTGCTGATGATGATGATGATGATGATGATGATGATGATGATGATGATGATGATGGCGGCGATGAAAGAAAGGTCAGGTGGCGCAGGCGGTCTGTCGCGCGTCCGCGAAGACGAAGAAGGCGAGCGAGAAGGCGGGAAGGTCCACGCGCTCCGAGGCCACCAGGGGGCGTCCTTCCAGCTCGGGAAGGCTCAAACCCGACAGCTTCAGCGGGACGCCGTTCAGCGTCACCCGCCTTTCCACGCAAAGCACAAAATACGCTCAAAAAGTTGCACAACAAAGTCACCACAGAGCTGGAAAAAAGAATCGTTGATACAGAACCAACCTACTCATCGAACACAAACTTTTGACTGATTAAAAAGTGCAAAACCAAGTGTTTCATGGATAATTATGCAGACGAATGTCTCTAAAACTGACCTGAACTTAACGAGAGTCTCCTGCTCCTTGTGAATCTACTCGGAAAAAAAAGCTCACGATGCTTTACCATTGGCAGGCATTTGAGCTTTTTTTTTTTCTATGTTTGGGTTATTGGGTTATTTCATTAGCTGAACTGTTCTGAGAGTGTAGCCCCTCTCACCACCAAAAGGTGGTTGCCCTAAACCGCCCCCTAAGTGCACCAGTTAAAAAAAATAATAAAAAAAGCATGCACATGTCAGCAAGAGTGCCTCCCTCGTGTGAAATCACCTGGACAAAAGTCCGTCCCAGCCTGGTTGGTCCGACTGCAGCACAAAGGCGTCGATGTCCCCGCCCCGAGCCAGCCACCTCGGGATACTCACGCTAACGGCCATTTTATTGAGGTTGAGGGCAATCAGCGTGACGGCGCCCTCTGTGTACCTGGCGGAAACATGCAACAACTTGAGCGTGCGGAGGCGATGGCGCCATTCCATCAAAGGTGAGCTACCTGGGGGCTTTGGCGCAGTGCAGGTACAGACGAACGCGGCCGCGTCCTGTCCGTGCCAAAAAGCCAGCGGGGCGAAGGACGCCACAGCCCACCACACGTTTGTAAAGTAGCGTGAGCCAAAAGTCCTTAAAAACACAAGGGGAGGGATGGCAGGCGCTGGTGGTGAGTGGGGTCGGGGGCAAAAGGAGCAGCGATGGCGAAGAGCATTTACAGGAAGAGGATCCAGATGGTCGTCTAGAAGATGATACACTCCTGTGCCAATCAGAACCTGCCGCATCACCACGGACACGCCTCCTTTGGCCGCCACTCCTAATTTGTCCAGCCACCTGACCAACCGACGGGTGACATATGAAACCACAGGTGTGCAAAAAAACGACCATGGATAGTAAGGCGTTTTTAG